CAAAAATAAACCCTCCCCTCCTGAATCGTCTTAAATGAATGCTTTCAAATCTTCCGCTTTGTCGCGCACATCATTCTGGTAAGAGATGGATACTATCTTTAACGTGGTTATCATAAAATGAACTGATCAAATCTTTTTATTCAAAATTCATTCCAAGCTGCAGGTATAATGTTCATACCACAATGTTCGAAATGACTACACATCAAAATCCAACCAGTTACCGTTGTATCAACTACTTTCTCTGCTCCTCAACCGCAGTTTACAGGCCTCATTTTTAGGAAAGATACATATGGATAGTTGTTAGATCTGAATTTGTCATGAACTGTGTGTTACGCGAAGAAACTAAGGTGACTAGCAGCTTACTCAAGACCCGGTATTGAAGATTAAACATTTAGTAGTATATTTCATCATGAGTTCACTTTACAAGTAGTTTTGCAAACCTCTATTACCCGGATCACAAAACAATAGTTGTTCAAGACAAATCGTTGTACCTGAAATATGTCCTGAAGGTTGCTGTGACTTGTGTACCTTTATTCTATATATCTCCGTTGTACTTGATCTTATACTCTTTTTCATCGGAATTATTATTATCCCCCTTGTTTCTACACCGCTATTGCAGAAAAACAACATTATTGCTTCTTAGAATTCTGCTCTGAGTTCTAATCTTACAGGTTCTCCGTTTCGAGAACTGTAGCAAATATGTTGTTTTGACTACAACCCAGATCATCACAGATTATCAGTAAGATACACACCCAATGTCATAAAGCTTGAGTGAACTTTCACGGGCGTGATTGTAGTGTAAACTCATGGGGTTGTGAATGTACGTTTGTACTGAGTCTCATAACGCTCAAAGCAGTCTGTGACACAAGGATACACCTGGAAGTGTACTGTTCTACTTTCCTAAATTGGAATAATTCACTACATTCAGGAAACCAGAATATGTGGATGGTACATACTTTTCTATGTCAGTCACGATTTGCTAAACTGTACGGAAAAGACGCACTTTGGTGTAGTGTGAGGAGCCTGAGATGGAATGCACTACCCCTTTGCTGTGTGAGGAGACAATTGAAGGTAGGTGTGATATCCGACTCCAGTATTGGAACCTGATGGAATGGCAAATTGTTAGACTTTGATTGGCTGTGTACAAGTTGATGGCTGAATTGACCAGCACTGCCCCCATAGTTGTCTTGGCAACATCCTCTTTTGTGGAGAAGAAGCCAGTAGTGACTGAGTGAGTAGGAATCGCAATGTTTGTTGTAAGCTCAAATTAGTGGAATAGGGTTTGGTTCACCTTCTCTTGCTCAGATGATGATTTCAGAACCGGTTCTTTTTTGATTGGTTTTATTCCAAGAAAGATCATATTTTGCATAGGATCCATATTGAGATATCTTGACGCTGCTTTGTGAAATCATATTGGTATAAACCTGATCTTTAAGCTTGTTGGGTAGAGTAAGTTCTCCTATTTGATGTAAGGCTGAGAAGGCTATACTAAGAATCATCACAAGTAACTGTTCGTCAAAACTACAGGACATTTTCACAACACGGTCCAGATCTTTGATAAGCATTGCAGGCGCTCTTTTGATACTCTTTCCAAATTGTTTATAGCAGCCCTTGAGAACCCCTTGAACACAATTAGATTTTACAGCTGTGTTGGCAGCTGAGCAGTGAAATACTATTCTGTTGAGTTCTGATTCAACAGCCTGAACTGAAATAATTCAAGCCCTTTGGGAGACGTAATATGCTAGATTTTCTTCATTTGGTTCAGCAGGAATCTTGAGAATGTTGCAGAACTCTATGAAGCTGTTGAAAGCGTTTTCACTTTTTTTCACTTGATTGTGTGGTGCTCTTGAATGGTAATTATGATCTGAATAACCTTGGATTTTGACAAAATCAAGAGTTGGATTCAAAGACATGATGAGATCTGAACATAAAAGATTGGGGGATTGTATAGAGTATCAGTATTATGAAAAACGTTTAAATAAGAAGATGAGGACACAGTGATTTCATGAAAAACCATTCTTACAGATGATAAAGGATTGATGAAGGTGATAGTAGTAGTTAACAATATTTTGAATGAGATGGTCAAGTGGGAGCTGAGAGAGATTCAGGTGTGGAAGATTCTTTGTCTGATAAGAACAAGGATCAGGAATCAGTCTTAGAAGAAGACTGGTGAGTGATCGAAAGAATTCCACAATCTAAGGAAAAGCAGATTGTAAGGAAATCTAAATATGAGTTTGATGAAGAAAGAAAAACACAAAGTTTACAACAGTTGTTTATATATATGAAAACATCGAACACATATTGATCACGTCATGATGTTAGAAAAGAACCTCTTCTATCATGTGCACTCAAGTGTACGTGTCCTGCTTTATAGCATGACATCACTACGTGACTCTCAATTAGCTTAACAAAGAGTTTTAAAAATTATTATTCTGTCACTATTAAGGAAATCAATGACGTCAGGTTCAACAATGATCAAAGTCTAACGAGACAAATGTGTTGAAAGATGTGTTTCAATTCGATTGATTGGTTGATTTACCTTATAATTAGCTGGATGGTGAGCAAAAATTTGAGATGTTGAGTAGAAAATTCAATCTTTTCGCTCTTTACCTTTGATTCCCTTTGCTGATTATTTGACAGCAAAAGCTCTTTACCACCTATTCTGTTTCCAATAAAACCACATACCATTTTCCCTTTAACTGCGATGTCATCATGAGTATCTTTGATAAAATCAGCTTACTTCTCACGGAATATGGCGATACACTTGGGAGTGACAACATCACTATGGTGGAACTACGACAGCGTTACACTGATATCCTTCCTGAAAACCATCCAAAATTCAATGAACATTTCTCAACTTTTGCTCATTGTGCCATTAACATCGACTCCGTTGTAGAACTCTTTCAGTACACAGCTGAAAGCAGAGCCAAGAAGGGGAAGAATGAAGACCAAATCAACAACACACACAATCAAAAGAAGAATAAGTCTTGAGATGGTGAATTGAAAGACTTCAAACAAAGAAAGAAATGCCCTTCTTAAACAGGGACTTTGATTACTGATGAATTAAATTTAAGACCTACAAGTCTTTGGATTAATAAGAACCAGGCTAAAAGAGGATAATAAAATCAAAAGTAGCACTATCTAGGCGCACTCAGGCACCTTCCAAATGAGCAAATGAGCTTTCAACTCAACAAGAAATTATTAAAAGTGAATAAAGGGTCTAATATTATAAAATCCCAACTCTCATTAGTTGTTTACCCAGATAATAATAATAAAAAGATACAAAGCTTTATTCTAAATTCTAATAATAATTTTTGCTAACTAAAAGGCCACAAAAAGGTGGGAGAAAGAGATACTTGTATATATCAAAATTGAAACACACACAAAAAAGAAAGTGGGACAAAAACACCCCTCAAACTCGAAATTCACCTTCAAACAACTTTTTCACACACAAATCATTGAACAACCACCAAATTAAAATTGATAAACATCTTCAACACACCCACATGTATCATTGACAAATTTTCAAGCACACATTTATCATTAAAACTGAGCTGTTTACCACAAAAACTGAAAAATCCGCCAATTTACCCTTAAAACCTGAAAAAAGATACGAAATAGGGACTGTATCAAAATTCTGAATAGACTGAAAAAAAGGTCTGCTTCCGCTCTACAACTTTGCTCAGCCAAGCTAAACTCTAACTCTATTGGTTGTACCCTTAAAATGAAATTCGATTTTATGTGAAAATACTCGAAATTGGATTTACCCAGTTTACCACCTGATATTACCACTAATGATGATGTATATGGTTTATAATTGATTTTTCATGTTCAGATGCGAAATTATAACCCTCCCCAACTTGTATCTAGGCTGATAAGATGCTGTGGTACCCTAAAATCAAAGGTATATGATTGAAAATAGCACTTTTTATGATTTTGAAAGTCATTTTCGAGTTTCAAATCCACCCTTATCATGTGTAATGTTTAATTTGACAATGCTGTTGTTTGATGATCCCATGAATCCATCTTTCAAAGTGATCCCTGCTTGCTTTTTCAGTTTACCACCCCAGTTTACCACTACCCCAGTTTACCACCATCTGTCTGAGTTGTTGGATTTTCGAAATTTAGCCTTATTTAAACCCATACTTCAAAACCAAGATTCCTCTACATAACTCATTAAACCCATACATATCTTTAAACATAACTATTAAAACCCATAATTTTGGAAATTCCAACTTCAGACCTGTATACTCTACATAACCCATAAACCACCCAACTACACATAAGTTCTAAACCCATAATTTCGACTTTTGGCTTCATTTTACACTACACTCCCTACACATAACCATTACACTCAAAAATCAACATGTAACATATAAAAACAAAATGAAATAAAATGAAATATGATAAAATAAAATGATAAAAATAATAAAATAAAATGAATAAAATAAAATAAAATAAATAAAACTAAAAACGAATTGTGTATTTGTCTCTTGAATACTTTTGATTACCACACCGTGTGTGGCAGAAAAATCCCTAGAAACTCTGTTGCTGAACCTGTTCATATATCACCATACAACACCATTCCTAGCAGACCTCTCACTTATCTTTACAACTGGGTCGACACTGATCCAACATCCTTGCCATCTGCTGCCAAGTTTTCAAAAGCACCGTCACATCCTTACCCACCTTTTTTAGCACCCCTCCCTCAAAGACCATGGGCTTTGGCATCATTCATCAAGAGTTCAAACCCTTTTGAAGAAGCGGCAAATAAGCTAGAGATGGAACCTGCTCACCAACCACAATCTCACTTGGCACCATTCATCTACACTTTCAAGCCTGTTGAAGAAGCATCAGATTAGCTAGAGATTGAACCTCACCATCCTCCACAATCTCAATTACATCCTTACTCCCCATTAGCCAATGGCAAATCACCTAACAAGAAGAGAAATTCCAAAGACGCTCAACCCAAAACCATTATATCTCTCAGACCTCAGTGTATGCGAGCTGAGGATGGTGGACTTTCTGAAATCCATAGGGCTGTTGGAAACAAAAATTGCCATTTTCAGTACTGTGTTGGGGTACGTACAAAATGCCTGAACTTTTTTTATCTTTCTTGCTTAAAATAACACCACCTGACTTTCCAATATTGCCTTCTTAGTGTTGCCTGGAATACGGTGACGCTACCTGTAGGGAACACACTTGACCTAGGGTTGGCCCTAGATTGGTGCAACAACTAGGTCAAGCCCCACCAAAGATACGACATCCTCGTGTGGCCAAAATCTTCAGGGAACATACCACCACAAAGTGTATGCGACCTTTTGGTGGTGGTGAGGTATATGAGTCACATAAAGAAACGGGCAGCCTAAAGTGCCCTTTTCATGACTGTCCTGGGGTACGTGAGATATCCCTGGAAGGTCGTTTCCTTTTTTTTCAATACCTAACACAACCTGACTTGTGCTGGATTTGTTAGTGCTGCACTGCATGTGGCACCAGCGCCTGTAAGATTCATTCCTACCCCAAATCCAATCTCCCTTCTGAGAAACCGTTTGGTGAAGGCACAGCATCATCATTCCCAAAGGAAAGATGTGAGCTACTTTGAATTCATTTTGGTTGTGACACAAATCTGATTGCTAGGTCATCTAGGTTTGTCCGAAGAAGATGGGAAATTTACTTGTCATGTTTGCCAGTCCAATTTTATTGGTAAGTACCTGAAGAATCACATGAAAGTTCCTATTCATCAAGAACGCTAGAAAGTATGGCAGGAAGAACAAGAAGCAGAAAAGCAAACTACTCAGCATTACCTTTCCCTCAAAACCTTGGTGTAGGAACAATCAAATCTTATGGATGTGGGAATCTCTTCTCCAGCAGAGGATGGTTCCAAAAAGGTTTTTGATCCCCATCACCTTGAACAATGGAATTCCTGTGGGTCTCTTTGAAATCATCTGGGATGCAAATTTACACTGATGCCCGGTCTGCCAGGTTTTGTCAAGGAAGGTGAAAAGGTTGTTTGTCTGGCGTGTCATGGTGAGACATACACGGTAGGAAGCTTAAAGCAGCACAAGAAAAGACTTCCACATATAAAGAATCTGGAAACATGGGTGGAGAAAGAAGAAGCCAAACGCCAAATGACTCGGCGTATAAATCAACTAGAAGAATTGTTGGAAGCACCATCAACTGACAATATGAATGATGCAGAAACCTCTGCTCGAGCTCCCAAGGAGTCTGTTGATACTTTTGAATCCCAAAGGACGGAATTGGACCCTGTGAGTCTTTCAGAAATCATGTTGGATGCTACCTTGTGCTGATGCCCAGTCTACCAGGTTACGTTGAGGGGGAATGGACTGTTATTTGTGTAGCTTGTTTGGGACATCAAATTCCACTGACTACTCTTTTGAATACACACATCAATAGTGTTGGACATTGACAAAAATTAGAAAAGCATTTCAATATCACGGAAGAGAACTGTGAGTCCCTGTCAAATAGTGTGGGATTCCACCTTCCACTGACACCCAGGCTGCTAGGTTTTGTCAGGGGAGGGCTTAATTTGCATTGTCTAGTATGCAACAAGAAACCAGTTCAATCACGTTATGCTATTTCACACTTGCAATCACAGGCCCATCAACTCGCAATAAATACTTTTGTGAAGATGGAAGACAAGAGTTTCCTTTGTAAAGTATGTAACAACAATAAACCAATTGGAATTAATTACATCGTCCAACATATCAAACAAGTGGGGCATCAAAAAAAGCTGAAGAAGGTGTGTCCAGCTACAAAGGAGTTTGATGAAGAAGAAGAAGAAGAAGAAGAAGCCAAAGAAGTCTTCTGTGAGTTGCTTCAAAATAATTTTAATCATAACCTGCCTCTGATCCCTACTCTTGCAGATTTGTTTCAGAAACCCTCAACATCTTTGTTGCAAAAACCAATCAACAACTCTCCTTCCTTGCAAGCTCCACCTGTTCAACCTTCCCATCCGGTCACTCACCTTAGTGCCATTTCAACAAATCAACCACCTGCTTGAGGCAACAAAAATGGAGGGCGCCTTGCACAAGCCAGAGCACGCCCTTTGAGTCCTCCAAAAAGGTTTCTGAGTGCTCCTCATGACTTGGCAAGTTGTTTTGGTGGTTTGGGCCAGGGAGTTTCTTCTTGCCCTCCTGGTGCATCTGTAAAACCAAAGCAAGAAGAATTTAAGGCTTCTCTGGGAGAGATGGCGACAAGGATGCAGGCATTACAGTTTGAAGACAATGTTTACACACCTACCTATGTGAAAGGATTTGGTGTAAATAAGCAGGGTTTCTGTGGCTTATGCAAGGGTGGGGCATGGTTTGCATGGGGGCATGGCTATCCGTGAGTAGTAGGAGAGTTTTTCAATAAGAGTGATAGAAGGTATGAGAAACTAATTCACTTTTGATCCTGATTGAAACATAGGTATCATATGCTACACAAACACGGAGTCATGTCTGTGACTGGCCTTTATTCCTTACCGCCACTGAAAACCAAACTGGGTGCTGCATCAAAGCGGGGAAGATGTGTTCTTGGCTGGTGCAGTGCGTGCAAACAATGGATGGAATATGCCAGGATATTTGATCCTATTAGGGAGAGTTCAAGAAAGCCTCTTCAAATGCCTGAAAGCCAGCTGATGTTGCTAGATCACAAAACCAGACTATTTTTGGTCAGAGAATCAAAAGCTGTGACTAATCCTGGGCGCTGGTATGAGCATGCAAAGAAATGTCATCATCATAGGGTCTTTATCAAGAAAACAGGATGTCATGAGAACCAGGAAAATCCCTCTTGTAAGAAATTGGTCTTTCAAGATGATAAAATGATAAAACTGCTGATGTCTTTATTTTGATTGGTCCAGGTAAAAGAAAAGAAAATAAAGGTCTTTGAGCTCTTCAAAGATCTTCAGTTTCAGTAACACAAAATTAAATATTCTTTATTAAATATACTTTATCAAATTTTTGATCTATCCTCTGCAGCATTTTTGTTTTTTCTTAATTTCAAAAAAAGAAAATCCTTTGGTAATGTGATGTTGAAATTTATACTTGAATTTGAATTCAATCTTCACATTGATGGTGAAGTCACAATCCCCAAAACCAAACCATTCCCAAAAAAAATTAGTTTATGTAAGGTCCTTTCCAAAGGACCTTACAAATTCCCATTGATCAATGAACAATATTATCTCTTAATCTAATCTGGAGTTGTCCATCATCTCAGTGGAATACTCTGTATTCAAGACTGCATTGCACATTATAAAAATGATACATTAACTAAACAATTCCCATGTAATTTTTTGTGTGCATTCCAAAGTGCCTTTCCTTAACAAAATTGGAAAAATGGTAACTTTGATCCAGATAGTGTATGACTTCTGGTGGTCTAGTGGATCAACAGCTTCAGCCACTTTGATTTCAACTTGTTTTGATCAGGATGGGTAAGTTGAAATGGAAATAGTGTGAGAAATGAGAAATTATAATTTGATTATGCTTGATGTGTATGTATCTTTACAGGTTTAGAGAACTGCTTACATGCCAAAGTATGTTATTACAAAGGTGACTCTTTAATCAATACTGATCAGTCCGACTTCTTCCATCAATCAAATGCACCATCATCTCTCTTGTTATTCCCACCTTGACAGATCCCATTGATCGACTTCATCCTTTCAATCTTGACTCTTGATTTAGACTGATAAGTGATTCTTTATTGAACGACCTTTATTCCACAGCTTATTTTCTTGATTTTGTAAGTCAAATTTATTGCTTTCTTGCCTTTTGACCAACAGCTTGTACCCATCCTGTGTGTGATCATCCGCTTGTGATATCCTTCCGTTTTGGACCCCCAGGATGGATACAAGCTGTTATTGAATTCACACAACAATAACTGACTATTGTCCTTTTCAGAACTTCCTAGAAGTTCTTATTTGAACATCATTGACTTCTCCTTTCAATCTCAACTCTTGATTTAGACTCATAATTAGTGATTCTTTATTGAACAACCCTTATTCCACACCTTATTTTCTTGATTTTGTAAGTCAAATTTCTTGCTTTCTTGCTTTTTGACCAATAGCTTGTACCCATCCTGTGTGTGATCATCCGCTTGTGATATCTTTCCGTTTTGGACCCCCAGGATGGGTACAAGCTGTTCTTGAATTCACATAACAATAACTGACTATTGTCCTTTTCAGAACTTCCTAGAATTTCTTCCCAACTTTTAATCCCAGACTAGCACAGCTGGGTGGTGGGCGCCACATCAACGTCCCACATCAGCCTGATCTCCTGTCATTCCTGCATATGTAGTTACATATAACCAGTGTCTGACCAAGTGTCAATCCCATCACTCTTTGTCCATTACTGGTTGTGAAGTGAGTGCGTTTCCAAACCAGTGGGCCAACAAATTGTACATTCACAATCAATGATAACTATGGACAGTCTTTGTCTTTGTTTTTTGTAACTTCACCTAAATGTATTCAAGACTTTCATCTACAATTGATTGGTTCAATAATTTTGTTGTCTTCTTGTTCTTCTTCGTTTTCTTTTCTTCTGCAACTCAGGTATATAATATGTATAAACCTTCTGCATTACAAACCTAAAGAAAACCCCAGCATAATTAGAATTCAAAAAGTTGATAAACTCTCCCAAACTTTCAAAAGAAAAAACACAATAATCATACAAAAAGGCCAATCTTGATTTTTTACTTACCTCCAACACTCAGGTGTTATTCTTGAAACAGCACAAACTTCACCTATGCTCAACTCATTCCCATCAATCCCCAACACCTTTCTCATAAATTTATCATCCTTGATTTGTTTGTCATCAAAACAAACTTCACAAACTCCAATAATATGCTATTTCTTTCTTTCATTACTAAAGCTTTACATCTTCCTGAAGAACTTGCACTTTTTTTTAATAAAGGGATAATTTGATTCACAACTTTCATTGAATCCAATCTCCTAGTTTATTTTATCCATTTTCCATTAAACTTCTACAGATGAAGTTTTTTCTCAACTGAATTTCATCCAGTACTTTAACATAAAACTGAACCAAAAAAACAATTTGAATTTGATAACTGTAAAAATGAATTACAAGATCATCATTCCATTGAGGGGAAACACTTAACATCCACTGGATCCTGTACTCAATGGTTTATAAGGAGGTGGTGGTGGTGTAAGTGACACAATCCTTTTAAAATGAAAACTTGTTGAGAAAATCTGTTGGCTGGATGTTGGCTATTGATTGATTAATTGTTTTTTCTTTGTTTGTTGTGAAGTTGTTGACATGAAACGTGTTTGAAACGGTTTGAAAGTTGAAGGTTCTGGTTTAATCGTTTGATAAGTTTTGATTAGATTGGATGTAGTGTGCAGGAAGTTGAACAGAAAATATGCTTACAATTTTAAAGATTCTTTAGTTTTTCATAAATCGATTTGATGATTGATGCACTCTCATCAACACCACCACCTACAATCAACAAAAAATATGTGAAAGAAAGATAAAACAAAGTTCAAAGTTAAGTATCTGTTGAAAAAAACTTCAAAAGAGATTTAAAGAGACCTAACCTCTCAAAATGATAAGATGGGCAAATGGAAACTTATAAAAATTATTATTTCTTTTCAAGATTTGGTTGACTTGGGCTTCTTGATTTGAGAAGCTGAAAGTTGTGGTAAAGAGTAAGCTGGTGGTGGTGATGAAGGATCTGATGGAGAGGTTGACATGATACTTTCATCTTTAGTATCATCATCTGATTCTAAAACTTCACTTGAACCTTGTGTTTGAGTTTCCTTGGCTACCGAAGAACAATATCAAGTTAATTTTCCAATCAGACGCGGATGCGATAGTCTACGTCCATAAGTAGGATCGTAAGATTCCACACAATCAGGTACCAAAGCAGGTGAAGGAAATTGATCTCGACTTCTAGGTTTGACTACAGATGAAGATCTTCAAGACAAAGGAGGAGAAGGCGAATGAATGTTTGTTGAAGGTTTTGGATTGATTGGCTTAGATGAACTGGTAGATGAAAGATCAGATTGAGACTTAATCCAACGACGACTAAGATGATGAATGATGCCAGGTAATTCAGTTCTAAACAATTCTCTTAATTGATGTTTGATTTCAGATTGAACAAAAGCTTGAATAGCCAAAACCAAATCAAATGTTGATGAAACTTGTACACTCTCTAATGGATCGTTCTTGAAGACTAATGTAACGCCTTCTAATCTTGAAATCGCCAACACTACAATCTCTTGAAGTCTTAAAAATGATGATTTTAAATTCGTAGGAACTATTAAAGGTGTTGAAGCAAATAAGATTGAAGGACTTAAAAGTATGTCAGGAGAAGTAGCAGAAGTTTTAGATCATAAAGGATTTGCCTGTAACCCCCCCACATTAAAACACACTCAAAATTAGTTTTTTGATGTTGTGAATGTGATTTTGGAAGAGATGGGACAAACCCGGATTCTAGTTTGTAAACTTATTGAAGCATCACCAGCATAAGTTAAACAAAAGATACCTCTCAATTGATCTGTACCTATATCACCAATCTCCAAGATTCCTAAATCTGGTGGCTATACAAAAATCAAAAGTCAACCAATTTTGATAATAGAAGATTAGGAATAAGGTGGCTGAGTGATAGATCATTAAAAAGAAATTTTGTGTCTTATGTACTCACATCCAGATAGCAAAGTTACGGAGAACAGTTTGAGTTTTGGACAATCATCCATTCATGATTTTAATAATCCATTGATTTCAATCTTGAAAACTCCTTGATCTTGCTTTAGGAAGATAATTTTTGGTTTGCTTGCTTGATAAGTGCCTTGACACTGCGAATATAATGTATTTTTCCGAGGTGAAAAATGATTACATTTATTTCACAAAATGATTAAAAGTGCATTAATTCTGCATTAATTCTGTATTTTTCTGCATTAATTCTGCATTATTAATCATTTTGTGCATTAATGTCAATCATTTTTCACCTTGGAAAAATACATTATTTTCACAGTGTGAGAATGATTTGGATTGAATTGATTATGATTTCATGAATTATTTTTAAAATTTTCAACTTTGATATATTTTTCAATTCAATCAATTTAAAACCTTTATATCGTTTAAAACCTCTATATCATTTGAAACCTTTGTATTGTTTGACACTGCCAGCATTAAATAGGTTCCCTGGTCGGAACATGACCTAGGCTGGGAATATCATTGAGAGAAGAATGGAGCATCACATCATCTCGCACTGCACATCTGAGCCATAAAGCATACACTACATATATGCAAACATCTGAGTAAATCCTTAGCTATCAGCTACATACAGGTCCGCTCAGTTATCTGCTCATCTAGATAAGAAAATCATGTGTAATACATGCTGTAACTTTGTTCAGATTGAGACACACATTTCAAAATATTGACTACATATATCACAATGGCTACTCAGGCAATATTCATGGAACTGTGTAACAGTAGCAGAATGGGAATCTGATCACTAGGACCCATATTCCCATCTGGGAACCTCTTTAATGCTGGAAGTGTGATAAGTTCTATCAATTCATTTAAGAAATCTTTGATTGTTTCATGATGATCATCTTCTTTTTGGTATTTCTTAGGATGCATTCTGCTTGGGTTTGAAGATCTAACAATAAATTATTCTGAATTTTAGAATGTTGGAGTTGGTTTGACCATTTGATTTGGGTAGTTAATGTGTTTGTGAACGTTTTTGATCCAGGGTTCTGAAGGTGATCTATAAAATTGTCTTCTGATTGTTGGTATGATTCATGAGTTCCTTCAGTCTTTGTTTTTAGGTTTTCAAGAGATTGTTTACTTGAATCAATCCACTTGACCAAATTCGATCAAGAGTTTGAAAACTGTACTTATCATTGAATCAGTGAACTGTTTGTGAAATGGTTTAGTAGTATGGGATGATAACTGGCTCATGAAGTGTATCAAATCCAATTTGAAGTAAGTTGTGATGATTTGTCAAGTAAAATGAGATTGAATGAAGTTTATTGGAGCTTGAGTTTGAAGTTGAAGTTGAATTGCTCTGTTAAAAGTTTTGATGAATGTGTTTGAAAGGATTGATGTGGAACTACTTGGAGTGAGTAATTTGGTGGGTATATGTGGCCAGTGAGAGGTTAGTGTGAAGATTGGTAGGTGGCAAAGAATCAAGTTGATGAGAGGCATGGGGAACAGATCTGGGGTGGGGCGCGTGGAATTCAGGTTGCATGTTGTGAATGTGTAAACCCGGAAATTGCTAGTAGGGATTGGGAGTTTAATCTGGTTTTGCCGGCAAACACGGTTTGCCTTCAACATTAATGATCTTCTGCTGCTCCCCCTTTCCTTCATCTTATATCTCTCTTATAACAAACACTTCAAGTCCTTCTCTATTAGTCATCTACTTAGTTATCTTTTCTCTTCATCTTGACTGATAGTAATTCCATTGTCTTAATATCCTTTATTCTCAACACGTCTCTTATAAATCATTTATGAGCTTGTTCTCGTCATAAACCATTAAGATCCCTATCCATTCGCTTGAACCAATACCTCAATTAAGACCGTATTCCTAATTAGGAATATACTTTTTACATTGGTAGCGAGATATTTTCTTTCCTCGACAAAGATCTTGCTACCTCATTGTTTTGCTTTGTTTGTTTCAATCTATTCCGACTCTGTTCAATTTATCTCTTCTGCAAAACTAGTTGTTATTCAACCCCTTCATGAATGAATACTACAAAGGCACCTGTACATACTGTACTTCTCCAAATGTATGGACGATGCAGACCCTGTATCATCCATTCCAC